CTTCATCGACCTCAGACAACTACTGTATATATCGTGCAAAGTCCTTCTGCTTTCTAGGATCATCTCTCTCGGTCACGGATGGTCGTCGGATACGTCGCAGCCATGCCCGACGTCCACTTGGGCAAAGGTGAACCTTTGTGTCGAGGAATGTCAAGTGTCACTATCAGGCGCAACGATAGGGAGCGTGTTCGCTTCTCGTGATTTCGTCTGCCCGAACGCCGTTGGAGTAGACATAGGCTGTGGCATGTGCGCTGTGAAGGTGTGCGCTCACTGCTTCTCCGACTCCGCTCTCATTTTAAAGCCTATTATTGTTTTTCATCATCTTCTAGCAGGTTCCAGGTCTCACTCGCCTTGGCCTTTCTGAGACTTTTTTGATGAAGCTACACGGTCAACTGGTTGAGAGAATCCCCACTGGTGGGCTTGAGACATACTGCTCTCGTTTTAAAGGAATATTGGCAGGCTTCAATAGCCATGAGAAAGCATCGTCGGAAATGCGAGCGGCTATGAAGCGACTGGTGGACGAGCACAAGCCTACTGGGCATACCAGAGGAGTACGTCAATCGAGGACAACTCCTCCCGGCAGCTACGCTCAGGTGATTGCCGAGCGGCACGTGAAACAGATTGGTACCCTTGGTGGTGGCAACCACTTTATCGAACTGCTTCATGACGAAGGAGACGACATATGGCTCATGCTACATTCGGGCAGCCGGAATATCGGCAATATTACTGCCCAATATTATGACGGGTAACCTTGTCGACCTCTGGGGGAAATGCTTAGCATTCTCAATAGTTCAGGTTGGCTGCGAGACAGACAGGCACTTCGAAGGAAAACCTGGCCCATCTCGCGATCGCCAGTGATGCTGGTCAAGACTATCTACGAGATATGCACTTCTGCCAAGCCTATGCGATGGAGAACCGAAAATTCATGATGAATTCTTTCGTTAGTAATCATTGCGAAATACCTCAGTCATTTCAGAAACGGCCTCTCCTTCATAGATGCCGTGCGTGATTTAACAGGAAAGGTGCCAGATTGGAGCACCTTGGTGAACATCCACCATAATTACTGCGAATGTGAGGGCTGCACATATCGAGATCCCGAGTCGGGGAAAATCGTGCGAGATAAATTATGGATAACGAGAAAAGGAGCAACTTCAGTATGACTACAAT